GTGGTGACCTATCATATTCAAACAATTCTAATAAAGTAGCACGTTCAAACCTTATTCTAGTCACGCTGAATGATTAATAATGTGTTTAATGTGATGTTGTGACCTACAGTATTTAAACATTTTTAATAAACTAGCACGTTCAAACCTTATTCTAGTCACGCTGAATGATTAATAATGTGTTTAATGTGATGTTGTAACCTACAGTGTTTAAACATTTTTAATAAAGTAGTACGTTCAAATCTGATTTAAGTCATACTGAATGATTAATAATGTGTTTAATGTGATGTTGTGACCTGCCGTATTTAAACATTTTTAATAAAGTAGCACGTTCAAATCTGATTTAAGTCATACTGAATGATTAATAATATGTTTAATGTGATTTTGTGACCTACCGTTGTGATCTGATTCAAGTCATACTGAATGATTAATACTCCTGGATAAATGCTTACAAATTGTTAAGAGAATAAAGTTCATACAATTAATAAGAATAATTTGGAATTTTTATAGTGTTTGTTTGTATGTATGGAGGTTTATTTATTTGTAATTAAGCACAAAGCTACACGATGGGCTATCTATACTCTGCCCACCACGGGTATCAAACCCGGATTCTAGCATTGTAAGTCCGCTTTTTATAGTGAATTAAATGCTATTATTTAAGTGTTATATTATAATATAATTATATATATATATATATATGCTAGAATTATATATAATTAAATATATAGTCCTGCTTATATCAAAATATAGATTTAAAGCTCAAGGTTTTGGTCTATTTAACAGTCACGGTTTTTTACAGCTAAATGTAAGTAATGTTTCATGATGTGAAAAATACATTTAGTTTAATATGTAAGAACTATAACTGATTATCCTTTTTCCAAAGATTTGGTTTCAAAATCGGAGGGCCAAGTGGCGAAAAATCTAAAAAGACAAAGAAAAAAGCGAGAAGGAAATGAACATATGCACGAAGACACAAGGGGCAGAGGAATCAAAGAACACAATAAATGGTGTAACGAAACGTACCGTTTCGGTACTACAAAGATTTATCCAGAGACCAAAAGTGTAGTTACTTTTTACGGGCTAGAACAAAGCACAGAAGACCACGGAAGGAGTCCAAGCAAATTTGATAGAGTATTAAAGGCTCATACTTCATTTCCTTGTACCTTATCTTCAACTTCTTCTCAAATTAAAAGAAAAATTCAACTTTCACAATACGAATCTTCGGATCTCGTTTCGAGTGGAACTATCAAGGTCAGCCCGTAGATCTCTAACACGCTCAAGGCCAACATTCCCCCTATGAATATAGGTATCCATTGGATATGGCTACTCTGTTCCCCTTCCAACTTCCATCTCGAATTCTTCCATCTATAGAAAGGCGCGTTGACTTTAATGTGCTCTGTCATTTATAAGATTTTATTAATAAGTTTATTTGCAGAATCATATATATATTTAATGCGATCTTTAGTGCATAGTTTGCAAGCTAACAAAATTAGAGTCATAGAACAATTTAAGATATATCTAACCTTAAATAGCTTAGCAGAAAATTTCTATCTTGCATTATAGATCTCTTGAGATATCGGTATTAGAGAAAGCTAGAAATATATTCTCTTCCCACTTGTTATATAAATAGTTCGGAGTAAAATTTAACATCAAAATGCACGTCATTTATATTTATTTTTTTACGTTCATATCCTTTTGATATTAATATAACAACTTGCAAAATTCATACTTTGTCAATGTTTCTGTTAACAAGTTTGAAACATTAGATTATAGTTTTGATGGTTAAATTAATGCATTAGTTCTTGGCGAACTTAAAAAGAATTTTTCTTTTCTTGAATATTCCTCTTATGACTTTTGATGCTAGAATTACCAAGAATATCCATCATCACAACGTCAAATTGAACACAGACATGTTCTTGTTATATAAAAGTACTTTTACAAATATTAACGCTTTCGTAAAGACAAGGATGAAATAAGTGATATAGGATTCTTTAACTACCTCTCTCAGAATACAATTTATCCACAGGTCTCCGTTCAGTGGACAATCTAGTATGGGTAGCATTCTAGCTCCTACACGACCGCCATATTTGACCACATCATATTTATCTACTAACTTGACTCACCTGTTTGGCTATCCTGTGAAAGGTCAGCAAGTATCCAGTAGCTATGCCCTCAGGAGTTATTTGGTGTAAATAGATGTGTACTTGTGCGTCTAAAATTGTGTGTGAATTTAAATACAGATTTTTTTTTCTTCTGCGGAAGGCTTTTTCAAGTAAGCTTTCTTATATTATCTTACACTTTTCCTCACATTTTATATTTGCATTCGAGGAATATATCTGATTTGCAAAATGATATATATACAAGTATTTTTAAAATCTTGCAGTTCTAGTCTGTTCCTCCTCTCTGCCAAAGGCACTGATGTCATAGACCCCCTTAACATATCTTCATTACCCATGATGAGCGATCAACATTTAGTGTTACAGACAAAAAGCACGGTAACTTTAACAAGATGTACTACAGGTAACAGTTAGGAAGTTTCTTACCTTTCCGTCTGATGGTTAAAGAACAACTTAAAATTTCACTTATGTATTCTAATGTAAAAAATAAACAAGCTACTTTAAATTGCGCAATAGATTGTAAAAGTATGTTTTTTATCTAATTCAAAAGAAACTAATGCTCAAGTAGACGCCTTTGTTATGTACATCTTAGTAGATCAATTGAGCAACTAAGCCTTGAATTTTAACTTATATGTATGGCCTGGAGAACAAAATTGTAAGACTAAAATATTCATGTAAAAAAAATAGGTTTTATCATGGAGTGGCTTTTCTTAATCTGACAGGATAATCCTATTATCCTAAGATGCCTTGTCCTGGTCCCCTTTTGAAGTCGGGATAACATAGATAGTTCCTACTCACTTATCTGTCCAACCATCTTTATTTAAAAAACAAAACAAAGGCCTACAAAGACATGCTTCCTTCTTGTAATACCACAAATAAATCCTAATTTTCCAGTTTAGTTATTATAGAAGATGTATTTCACTCTCTGAAAATTCTGGTTTGCATAAGTCGAACGCGACTAAGTAGTTAGTGCGCTGGACTGAGGATCCCACGTTCGCGTCCTGTTACCGCAAAATAAAAATAAAAAATCGCGTTCCACGCTTTGAGGCTGTTAATGCGTTATAAGAGTGACAGTCAAGTACTTTTATTCGGTGAGACAAAGGTACCCCAAGAGTTGACGGTGGGTGCTATTTACTAGTTTATCAGTTCAAATTAGGAAGGGCTAGCTCGGATAGACATTGAGTAGCTTTGCACGAATATCCGAAAACAAATAAATCCTTGCATAACTTCTGTATCTTTAACATTTACTTATTTTTATTTTTTGCAAAGACTTTCAAAACTATAAAATAGATAGTAGAAGTTTAGCCTGACAAAAACTGCTTCAAATATTATTACAAAATGTATAACTTGTAATGCATTTACCTATACTCTTTTTCTTCGCGTACCATAAACAATAACATATTTTTTTATCATAGACTTCACCATTGTTGTTGGTGGTGGTTGATATTTTTAACGCAAAGCTACACAATGGACTATTCACTCTCTGAGGAAATCGAATCTTGAGTTTTAGAATACTAAGTTCGGAAACTTTACCGCTGACCTATTTCATCTTCCTTTGGTTGTTGCTACACAATGGGCTATCTGTGCTGTGCACACCACGGGTATTGAGATCCGATTTTTAGCGTTATATGACTTCAGATTTATCGCCGAGCTACTGAGGAACATTTGATTGTCTACCAATTTGTTAAATTCCTGTTTATTAATTATATTAAAATGTTTTACGATTGTTTGTTTCTAGTTACACAATGGGCTATCTGTGCTCTGCCCACCATGTGTATAAACCCGGTTTCTAGCGTTGCAAGTCCGCAGACATACCGCTATGCCAATAGGGGCATGTTTTACGAGGTTTGTCTTTACAGGTGTTAAATTAATAACAACAGTACTTTAAGCAACATGCAAGTTTTATTTTTGTTGTTGTTGTTGTAATATATTTCTGTCTTATGAAGACGCAAGCATATTCATCATGCGTACAAAATGGTCAGGAACTACTATTCAGTTTTACAGACAGTACCAATAATACCGATCTTACAAAGAGTATGTAGCAGATCTGTCAAGTATACTTTTTTTAGCTAAAGCTTGTGACGTCGGTATTATGTGGAAGTTTACATTAATTATTATGTAAAATTAGTAACTGATTCGGTTGAATATTTGTTTTGTTTTTTTTTAATTTCGCACAAAGCTACACGAGGGCTATCTGCGCTAGCCGTCCCTAATTTAGCAGTGTAAGACTAGAGGGAAGGCAGCTAGTCATCACCACCCACCGGCAACTCTTGGGCTACTCTTTTACCAACGAATAGTGGGATTGACCGTCACATTATAATGACCTCACGGCTGAAATGGCGAGCATGTTTGGTGTGACGGGGATTCGAACCCGTGACCCTCAGATTGCGAGTCGAACGCCCTAACCACCTGGCCATGCTGGGCCTATTACAATGTAAAGATATGAACTGCTCGCGCGTAAATTGAATGGCAAGTGAAATATTAATCTTTAAATGTTCATTAATCATACGTTTAAATCGAATATTATTTCGTTTTAAAAAGTTATTCACGTGTATAACGTAAATATAAAAACACATTACTTTTAAAATAATACTTTTACACACATGAAATCATTAAAATGTTACTCGTTTACACATAAAGCCCAAAACATTTTACTTTCAATTTTACTACATAAAAACATTTATTTCTTCTTATGATGTAGCTTCTTAATATAAACACGTCATATTAATAAAGCTTCTTACTTTCAAAATGTAAGCTATTCACACACGGACTCAAGATTTCTTAGTCACCGTGTGAAAGACAATAGTTTGAAATCTTAGGCCTTTTCAAATAAATTATAACCCCCCCCCCCCCGGTTTAAAGACAAAGACCATAAAAAATCAGCAATTCTTTGCACATATTTGATACGTCTTATTTCCATGGTTTTATTCGTATTTTCTTTACAACGTACAGGAATTCAGTAAGATTTAAATCTGACGATGTATATACAACTGCAAGTGTGCACTTTGATTCAAATTTTAAAAAAAAAGTTCTCCTAATTCACAGTTTCTGTCACTTGAACATTTCAATTGGGATTCAACTGTTCTGATAAGTTAACTGCGTTCACATGAACATATCAATAAATCTTAAAAGTATCACCAAGCTTTACGTAACCAAACCGTAGGTAGGATTACAATGTTGAATATTTAAAGATGAAAACTTTTCAGTATTTTCTGAAGTCATATGATAGAGATCTACAGCTCACTATACATTTACACACACAAGATACAAATATATCAAATGCATTGATATGTCTACACAAACACTATAAAACAATTACCTCTCATATACTACAAAAATGACTTATGTACAAAAGCAGTACAAATTAACTTCAATAACGATTTTGCATTAAAATCAAGACATTTGTACTTGAAACTGAACATTTCGTTCGATAATTCTCACGTACTTTAAACGTTATTAGTCTCCGTTAAAAATGGGCAGTGTTATAATACTGATACCAAACATTTCTGAGAATATGATAGAAAAAAGTTTGGAAACTGTTATTATTTGTTTGTTTGTTTCAATGGGTTCACAACATTTAAATTACATTAAGAGTACTCAATTTATATCTTTTGGTTGAAGTACAAACTTTGAAAACAAGAGGGGATGGAAAATATTTCTCTAATAATTTCTAAACAGGATACAAAAACTTTTGTAATACCCTAAGTTTCTCACTTGCAAGGAAAAATTACTGATTGACTATGAATGGTTTAGCAACTAAAAATGTTATTTTACAGTCTTATCAAATAATTTTCAATACCTCATACTTAATGTTCATAAATATATTTTGGACCAAAAATGCTCTTTCCAAGAGGATTTCATGATTCCTCAAATACACACATAAAAAGGATGGAATAAACCACTAATTTTTTAAACATTTTTGGAACTAGATTTATAATAAGTGCAACAATGTATGTATATTTAACTTTCAATGGATTTTATTATGTATAAGAAACCATACACAAATTGTGTGTGTGCCTATCAAAATATCAGCATCTGACATCCAGAAATATACCATGTTTAATCAGCCTCAAAGTGAACTATACTGATTTGATTTTGAAATGAATTATAACAACTACCATTTTATATTACATTACTGATGTTTCTAATTACACTGGGATCACCTTCTTCTAATGAAAACAGTAAATCAAATAGGTTAGGTCTTTCTAGCCTATATGTTGTAACTGTAAGTAGTTTTCACACACACACAATAACAAATGTACAACAAAAACAAGAATGCCTTTTTTTAGCATAAATCTTAAATTAAAGTTAATTACTTAAGATTTTCACCTTAAAAGATGCAGAAAAAAAATAGTGATTTTTAAACACAGTATCCTAATCTCTATTTCAAATGTATTCTTCCTAATGAAAATACTTAAATGCAAAAGTGAAAAATATACTTACTATTTCATTGGAAATTTTTAAAAGAGGAAGTAAGACAAGTCAAGTGATCTGTGTACAACTTACATGAGTCATGAAAAATTGTGAGACACTTAACAAGTCAAGTGATCTGTGTACAACTTACATGAGTCATGAAAAATGGCGAGACAGTTTAACAAGTCAATTGATCTGTGTACAACTTACATGAGTCATGAAAAATGGCGAGACAGTTTAACAAGTCAATTGATCTGTGTACAACTTACATCAGGCATGAAAAATTGAGACAGTTTAACAAGTCAATTTATCTGTGTACAACTTATATGAGTCATTAAAAATTATGAGACAGTTTAACAAGTCAATTGATCTGTGTACAACTTACATGAGTCATGAAAAATTGTGAGACAGTTTAACAAGTCAATTGATTTGTGTACAACTTACATGAGTCATGAAAATTGTGAGACAGTTTAACAAGTCAAGTGATCAGTGTACACCTTACATGAGTCATGAAAAATTCTGAGACAGTCTAACATGTCAAGTGATCTGTGTACACCTTACATGAGTCATGAAAAATTCTGAGACAATTTATTTTATCAAGTTAAAAGAAAAATCTGTTTCAAACTAAGTTGCAATATATTCTTCTAAGATACTGTTTGAAAACAACTATACTATGGAAAATAAATTAGTAGTAAACAATCACCTCGCAAACCGATCAAAAATATGGTATTAAGTTTAAAATGTAGTTACAAAAATTCAGTCCATTCTACACTATGGAAACATTTAAAATATCTATCCATTTCCTATTATAATCTTTTTATAATGTTCAAAATGTTTATAAAAATAGAGGTCTATTTCACTTCAAAGTTTCTCAATGACACATGAATACTAATATGCCTTTTCATCAAAACTTACTATATCAATTTACTTTTTTAAAAAATTACTGAAACACTTTCATATCATATGAGCTATGCAGAAAAGATATAAATAATATTTCTAAGAAACACAAGTCAATTTCTCGTACTGTGTAATAATAGGTAATATTTACTTAAACTCTCACAATTTTATTTTTATATTTTTACACTTCTAAAATTTGAATTTGAATATTTCTGGCAGTAAATTTTAACATTTAGATAAATGTGAACCTAGCTAAATTTCATTTCAAACTTCTCATACCATATCATCAATGTTTCAAAATGGCTTTTTAACAAATTTTCAAGAATTTTAAGGGACTTCCTTTGTTACTATATAATACAATGGATATGATGATGACACTATAGAAAAGTTTTGTAGATAGATCAAATCCTCAGCACAAGAAACACTAAAAGATATTTAGTCAGCTACTAACAAAATAAGCTCCTGAGACTGATTTATAGTCGATTTATACCGTACAAATAACACACAATGATTGATTTCCACACAATACAAACTTTGTATGCACACAATTGATGAATATAATGTTAAAGCAAGTGCCCTGCTTATCCTTCAGTTCAAATAAGCACAAAACTAATAATAATATAAAAAACAACGTTCAATAGCTTTCATTATCTACCTTTTATCATACTGTTTGAACACATGGGAAAAAGTTTACAGTTTTTAAAGAACCTAGTTGAACTTGGTTTGAAATGTTTATCCAACCCTTATGTACAAGTGACTAACACGTTGAATTTTCTAAATTATAAACTATTACCTTATTGATGTGTCAATTGTAAATTTATCATGATTTTATCATTACATTTATGTCGCTACATTTAGTCACTGTTTAACTTACATGAATAAAAAAAACTGTTCTTACCCTGTAAAAATATTCATAATTATTTCTGCATCTTGAAGTTTACAATATGTAATGGAAACAAGAGATTCTGGGACTTCTTTTTCATCAAAATATGTTAGATTAAAATCCATTTCTTGAAACACTAATACAAAATTCTTAGAATTAAAATAATTTTCTTTATTATACACGCGGAGTCTGCACACTCTTACCCGAGTAGCAGAAACAGCCCAAATATTTTAAACCATTTTAATATTCTTAAATATACACTTCCACATTTCTTAACAACAAACTAACCACATTGCCAAATTTTAGCTTAACCTTAATTTTATCAGGTACTAGTCCTTATCCTTAAATAGTGTTCTTCTGTAATTTAACATTATATACAGTTTATAAGATTAAACTGTGAAACAAAAACAATTTTCTGAACCTCTGATGACAAAATGTAATAAAGTAGATGGTTTTTCCACAAAAAAAATGAAATAATCCTTAATGCCTACACACCAAAATGGTTGACAGAAAGGTGTGCCCTCACAATGTCATCTTTGTACAGTCAATATACATAATGAACTGAATAGTGCAACACTACATAATGAACGAGTGGGAGGAGTTACTAAACATGTGATGCTTCACAACCTTCCCATTCCTCCTCTTCATCATCTTCTGTTTCTGTATCTGTGTCACCTTGAATACTAGAAGTATCACTTAAGCTATGACTTGGTGATAATTCCCTGTGGTCTAAGTAAGGCGACCTGTTCATGGTTTCATTAACCTTGTTGAAAAAGAGTTGTACCTGTCAAAATAAGCAGACATCAGATTTACATTTTATTATTTTAATCTGCTTAACTGCCTGTTAATATAACGTTTAATATCAACTACAATAAAAGAATAGTATTAGACTTATTGTATTTTTAAGCACTACTTTCATTATTAAGTCCCAAACATTTTTAAAGTGTGCTAATTCCAGATTTTAAGTCAACCTTATATGAAAAAAAATATTTAAATACCATGTATTCAAGCTCTTTTATTTTTACTCTAGGGTGCTTACTACTAACTGTGTAATAAATAAAGAATGTAGTTTAAAAAATAAAATAAGCCTAATACCATTGCCTTATGGCAAACATAATTGATTATAATCACACTTAACCCTATCCTGATGGGTCACACGTAAAAGGTCATGTTATCTCGTTTGTTGACTCGCATTCAAAATTTTATTGAACTACTATTTCATGAATTTATGTCAATAAGTTTGGTATCAAACTGTAGATAATAAAAAGTTTAGTATTATACCTTACTCAATTTCTTAATTTAAAAGGAAATATAAAAAAACACAATTAAACATTGTTTTTTGTGTGTCACATGGTACGTTGAATGTAGCACTAGTTCAAATTAGATGTTTGTGATGTCAAAATACTAAGTTTATAGTTTTGTACGAATTAGGAACTCAAATTACCGACATTGACAAGCTAAAAATAAGATCTTATCTTTTCTATTTGCTAAGATATTGCTCATGTAATAAATCAAACACAGTGGCACCCCACCCACCTCTTTCCATTTTTGGAAATGCTCTCTTATATATACTTACTTCTATATGTTACATGAATAACCAATTGGAAGCTCAGAATGTCCCCCTAGTGGCTTTTTCAGCCATTTTAAATTCTTAGGACACCATTTCTTTCTTTTGAGCCAAAATTTCAAGGAGGTGGGTTGTGTCTTTAGTCTGCTCAAAATTTCATTTTTTTTTAACTGAAATACAACTTGGTTACTAAGCTTGATAAATTATAGTGGAATTCTATGGTATTAATATAGTAATTTATGAATTTTGGTTATTCAACTGTATATATAAAACCTAAAAAAATTATTTTGTTTCATATCCTCAACATGTAAAATTTTAATAGGCTTAGCAACCTACATCAAGCAGCAACTGAGTACAAAACACTGAATTTCTTACCTTAAAATTTTGGCTGAAGAGTCTATGGGTTTTGTCCTTGTTGGCCTTGTCCAAACTATGTTTTGGCAGAGTAATTGTAAAAAACCTTCCTTCTTCATCTCCACTCCAGTGTCTGCTGTTATTTATTTACAATAAAACTGATATGATACACTAGTTTTCAAAGAATATTTTAACCTTAAAACTTAAACTAAGAACATTTTTAACACTATTTTCACAGAATATTAAACCTTGACTATAATCCTGGTTTCTCAAACAGCTTAGATAATCATTTATAACATTATGTTTTAACAAAGCCAAGTTCATTATTTTAACATGTATAATTGATTTCTGATAATATCACATCAATATATACACTTCTATAAATCAAATTTCTTTAAATCAAGCATACTGTATTGAGCACTGTTTACTAACAAACCAAACTGCTAAGTACATATAAAACATCCACACTAGCTTTAACCCTTTGCAGATTGATAGGATCATTCAAGTGCATATTAACAACTCAATTTTAAAAATCTAATTAAACAATTAAATTATAGTGGTAACAAAATAGCCTGAAGACAAAATGTTTAAATACTTCCTCTAACTTTTGACTACATTATTTCCCAACAAAGTTTCTGTGTTATATTATGTCTGTTGAATAGCTAGAGGAATATTTTTCTGTGACATCAATAAAGGATATTTAGATTTAGTGAGTACAGTAAGTTAATCCTGTGAAGGAAAGCTATTCCAATTACACAAATTCTTTCTTTTACTGAATATATATATTGTTAAGCTTATTGTATTCAAACAACAAATACAAATAGAATAATTTATTATTTTTCAGAAATTCACAACAAAAATAATTAGATACACAATTATTTTGACCAAAAATGTCAAAATAATAATATGTTATGAAACCTGACAAAGGTAACAGTGTATCTTATTTGAAATATGAACTATCTGGTCACCAATAAATATTTGTCAGTCTTACTGTATTTTTATAATTTATAGTGAGAGACTGCTTCAACTGTTAAAGTGTTAAAATAAATACTGAACAAGTTAAAACTTATTGAATGTATAAAATGAAATTTTCTGAAGCACAATAAAAAAAATAGAAAGCCCAAGATGAAAGGAAGCATTTTTCTTCAAAACAGCATTTCACAGTTTCAAAAACTTTACAACCTAAAACTGATACATATGTTAAATCAAACTTTAGGAATTTTTTGAAACAGAAATTAACACTACAAAATTTGTACCAAGTTTCATGTAATATGTTTAAGTATTTTCACTGTGAAAAAATATATAAGGCCAATGGGTGCTTTTTGCATATCTATGGTCCAAAAAGAAATCCATTACATTCAGCAGTGTTTTTTTTTCAAATGATACTTTTCATTTGCTCAAGCTAATTATCTGTAGTACTACTTTCCATAATATCTAGCATCAATGCTTTTTTCACAAAATATTCAAATTACAAGTACTAAATTTTTTAAATAACTACTTATACTTACTATCTGCATCTTCCGCAAAGACTGTAGTCATGTAATCTTGACAATGAAATGGAACTTTCCTCACGCTCTGATCTTTCAAACCTTTCTGGCCTTTCAAGTTTAGAAAGCGATACAGAACTAGGTTCTCTTTCTGGCTTGTTAGTCTGTTTTTCACGGTCCATTTTAACATTCCAATTGTTGCTTTTTGTGTTGTTTTGCTCGATAAACCCATTAGCTTGCACAACCCCAACCGGAGACTCATCCAATGGCTTTGCAAAAAAGGTGTTAATCCAAAATGAAAACATCTTTTCCTGAAATTAAAATTGTGAGACTAAAAATAAAGGTTAAGAGTTTTTTTTAAGTAAGTCTTTCAAAAGGCTTACATAAATTGAAAAGAAATGCAAGTAAATGAGTACAACTATTTAATAAGTATTAAAAAACAAAGAGATGAGCTGAATTTAGCAACTTTAGATTTCACTGGAATATTTTTCTAAAATAATCCATAAGTTCTGTCTACTGCCAGCCAAATTACCTCACATCAGATTATGAACAATATTGTTTGCAGTGTTAGTGAATGGTTACAAAACTCTGTATTTAGTTACATGTTGCAATAACATCAACTACACCAGGACAAAGAATAATTGTACCATCTATGTATTTAGTAAAAATATGATTTAAATAACAAAATGGAGAATACAAAAGGTTTTGTAAATAGTTTTATAAAATCCAAAGTTTCAGCACCCATAAAAATGCACTTATAGACTCAAAAATAAAGAATACTAGTTAGACACTATTCAGTTTGTTTGTTTTTTGCTGAATTTCACATAAAGCCACACAAGGATTATCCACATTAGCCATCTTTAATTTTGAAGTGATAAACTAGAGGGAAAGCAGTCAACACCACCAACTCTTTGGTGGTAATGGGATATGAACCACAAAACCTCATATCCACAGGAGAGCACACTAAACACTGTGCCTCGCTTGGCCAGAAACTATTTATTCAGAAAAGCAAAGAGATAACAAGTGAATGCTATTTATAAAATAGGAAAGTCAGTATAAAAAGGGTCTATTATCCAAATTTTAGCAATACTAAATGTTCTGGATTTTAAGATACCTGGCCTGTATTTAACTAGTAGAATATAATTACACTGTTCTGTGATGTGAAATAATAAATATTAAAAAATGCCTTTTTGGATTACATTTAAATAGATAAATTAAACCTTACATGAATACCTAGTATGATTTTGAAGCATGTTAATAAAAACTGTTTTTATACAGTTGGGTGATAAAATTACTTGTACATTAATACAAAATTATGTTTCTTTCAGGTACAAACCACAGATTACGAACAACAACAACATGCTCCCATTTTGTTATAAGTAGTATTGTGACAAACATTGCTGCATTTCATACATTCTTTCTTTTCTTTATTGTGATGCTTTAGCAGTCTAACTTTAAACATGGGCCTGCACATGTCATGACATTTTAGATTCACATAGTTATATCCAAAATTTAATTAACTATATTATCAATTTCATGGCAACAAAATTAGCATCATAACTCAATTTTTTTTTATATCAGCTAAGTTTCAATTTCTTAACTTGAAAACAACAGATTTAAAAAAATTCTCAATATCCACTTCTCTGTGTCGTGTGACACACCTGCATTCTGAATTCTCCTCTTTCAGTTTTTATAACTTCAATATTAATGCATCTACTCTGTCAGTTAAGTGGACATAATCTACAGATAATTCCAGGTTTAATAAGATTATTAAATTTTCCCAACCCACAACAAAAGCCTCACAAGTCTATCCTTAACTTTCAAGGTAGTTTTTAAAACTACCTCATTATTTTTAACATACATTTACAACCAACAGAAAGAGCCTATTTTCAACTGTCGTGAAGGTACATTTAGTAAATTCAGAATTCAACATGTAAAGTGTCATGATTTTCAGTGACAAAATGTAACTTACAATTCTATTGCATTGTCACTAAGTTTTGGTGTAACATGTCTCAATTCATTATCTAAAAATGCACTGAATTAATGTCATTTGGACATAACCCTAAGGGGTAAAAATTTGTTAAAGGAAAAATCCATTTCAATACTTTGTTCTGTTATAAAAAATACTGAAATATAAATGAAAACATTGAAAATAAATTATCAATCATTCATTCTATGTGTATTGTGGTATTTGTTCGCTCCAACTTGCACATCCTCTATTTTATCATCACCTCTTCCTGATGTCCTGAGTTTAACATAAAGTACTCATTATAGTATAGATATTACTAAGGCATAGGCTATACAATTTTTATAGCCTTCAATCTTCTATGTTTATGGAGATATAAACTACAGTGTTAGACCCACTTGCCACTCCTACCCTTTACATCCTCTCTTTCACAAATTACCAATAACTCTCACTGATGTTTGCTATTACATCATTTATAACCAATGAAGAGATAAAGTTAAAATTTACCTTGTTATCAGTAGAGATTTTTAGTTATTTCACCTGGAAATTGAAAGTTGCTATCACTGATTTCATATCCAACAGGAATTATTTTAAAGCACTTACACCTTAGTTAGAAAGCCAGTTAAATTATAACAGTTATAGGACACTGTTTACTTTGTGCATGTTATTACTGTGTCCTATACGTATACTTGAAGAAAAAATATTTAATGTACTAGTACCATCATTAAAAAAGTATAGGCTTAAGATTCATTGGCTGGCTGACAGGAAAAAAACAAGAGGCTAAACATAAGTATTAAATTTCTTTATTATGTATATTTTTTATCTATTGCTATAAAGGTAACTAAAATGTAAAAAATCAGAAACTCGTTAGAATAGATAATGAAAATAATAAGAAAAATTTCTCCATGAAGTATGCTTGTGAGTAGTAACATCATTCAATAAAGTAACTTGAGTTAAACATTCACTGTGAGATTTACAGTTTGTATCATGGGATTATTAGTTTGGTACAATTCACAGAGCAATAAATCAATAAATGATTTAAGAGCCTTTAGCTATTTAGGACAAATAAGTGTTGCAGTCATTCTAAAAAGAAAAAAGGTAATTTAGGTTTATTTCATATTTTTTTGTGGTGGTTACATGTTCAGTCAAATCAACTGTGTCCTTATACAGTGAGGGTACAGAAAATGAATAAAATATAATATAAAGTTTTACTGAAAAAGAAACATTTGGTATTCATTTAGGAGGTTTTAGAAGTTATGGAAATGAAATTTGAAAACTACAAGATGAAAAAAGTATTTTTAATCTTAAAATGCAAATTACCCGCATTCGGACTAGTCAACACTCTGACTCCATGTATATTCATGTACATATCTGTAGCAAAAATACCTTATTAAAAAAAAACTGATTTTTTTGTGTACAAAAGACTTGTAATGTTTATTGAAAGCTTGCCATTTAACTGTCGTCAACATAGACCTACCACATTAAAAGTTATAGTACAGATACTTTCATGGTTATCTGGTGGTTAAAAGGTCAGTCCAAATGACCAAGCCTTCACCGAGAGAGTTAATTGGAAAGATATTGAGATTAATAAATATTTCACAGAAATAAAAAAAAAGTTTCAATCTTCTGCACAACTCACTTTTTTCATCATTTTTGGTTTGTTATAGAATTCGATTTTTATATCCCCACACACTGGTATTGACTGAGGAATCTCAAAATGTAGGAACTTTGAGCTTTTCTTGAAGTCTATCACAGGAGATGTGTATAACTTCACTTTAAGTTGGTAAACTACAAAATATGGACCTACAGGGGGGGAAAAAGTTCAAACTTATACAAGTGCATTGAAAAAAAAAATCACAAGTTTGGAATTTATTTCACAGCACATAAGCATGGCAAAGATGAACTGGAATTGTATCTCTTTTTTTAAACTGTATAAAATATAGTGCTAATATCCTTGAGGTTAACTGAAAGAACCAACAGAGGTAAAAAAATTAGAAGTTGTGCAAAAACACTAATTACTTTTATTAAAATTCATTTTGAAATAACACATTTCAATATGATCTTCAATCTACAAAACTACCAGTTACCAGAACTAATGACTACCAATGCACATGTACAAATATAACTGTTTCCTCTAAACAATCAATGCCAACACTTCAAAAATTTGAAATGTCAGAAGTAGTACTCTAAAAATCATTATACCTACATATACAAATATACATATATTAATGGGAAAATCAGCAAAACATAATTTTGTGTAATTTGCTTAAGTGACATTTGGTAACTCAAAATCTTCATTAAATTTTCTGGATAATACTTCAATTTAATCTAATAATACAAATTTTCTTCAGCACTTACTACATGTTCCTCCAGTGAAAGATGGGACAGGATCAAGTCTCACTGATCTCAGAATAAGTGCTAATGGTTTGTACTCTACATTCCTCCTGACTAGCTCACCATAATATTCTACGTATCTTCTCTGACTTGGTATTGTAACCCCCTGAAACAGAACCAATAGCACTGCTCACACTGCTTCATCCAAATACACCCACTAGTTTTTTATTGTCTTGGCAACCACAGAAATACTGCGACTAAATAACAAACAGATTATTCAGAACTGTAAAGCTACTTTCAGAATTCATTACTGTGTTCCTATGTTTCTTATTCTTTATCTTACCTTATTCAAACACAACCAGCTAAACCACGATGCTGTCCTTGTAAAGATTATACTGGAAAATGAGCTATAGTATCTTTCTAAGTTTCAAAAAAAAATACTAATTATGACTACAGGTTAATGATTTTATTATTGAGGAAACCTACTTTTCAAGACAAGCAAAATTCATTTTAGTATAAGCAAAAATTCCTAGTCTACAACTAGTTATTTACCTGGTATTGAAAAGATTGTGGAATTTTACAGTAGATAATGCTATGCTGAACAACCTGTACATTCTTTTATCTGGAAATATGAAAGACAAAAAAGTGCTTAGTTTAATATTTAGGTGATAAATGTCTTTTCTTCTTTTTTGTAAAACCTTTACATTAAATTATTTTCTTTGTTACATTTAGAAAGAGTAAAATTACCTTCTGGTCATGAGTCCTTGCTTGTCCATAACAAAATAAAGATTCTTCTGGAGTTGCACATATCTGTTTATGTAACAGATAGGCACAAATCATAACTCCTGTTCTTCCCTATATAAAACATTGTAACACAAGAATGAACTGTGTGTCCTAATAAAAGTAAATTATCAATGTACTGAAATTTAAATACATTACCTATCAAATAAAAAACAAACTGAGATACAAAATGTAATAAAATATTCCTATTACTGTACAGAATTTCAACATTGAATAATGTATGGATACAAAAATGAGCACAATTTCAGTGGTTCTTGTGTATTTGTTACAAAATGATACATGAAGAATCAAATCTATAGAACCAGGTTTCAAAAAACAAAAAGGACTCTATTCTGGTAACCTGACAAATAAAACACAACAGTGGCTACAGGGTTCCCACAAACTTTTTGACAATAAAATCAAGCATATCCAAGGCTTTTCAAGAGTAACCTTTAACAAACTTCAAGTATCATTATCTTATTTACTTCTCCAGCCTAAAAATACACCTTACAGTTCCCCAATCCATTCACACATGCTTTAAATACCAATTATTGTGATACAAATACAACATTCAGATAACAATAAATATAAAACATATATGTAATTCTACTGATAACTAGTTTTTCTTCAGGGTCAATTGTCTGTGTAGAATTTGTGATCACAGGAAATTCAGAAACAGAGGACGACACTATTCAATATATCACCACTTCATGTTTCTACCTCATTTCAAACAACTTCAATAAAATCCAAAATTTTACCAGAATTTAAGTATTCTAAGTACTTGAAATGAATTCTTTAACTCAAGCATTTTCAACCATGTTTGAGAATTCTACACAAGGTAAAACCTCTTGTTGTTAACACATGTGTATGGTGTAAACATATCCCTTTTACAGTGTATCATCTCATATAACAAAGGGCAAAATGTTTAAATGGAATTAATATCAATACACAAAATCTTTAAGATCCTACTGGATGAAAGAGTGATTTCTATTGAATCATGATAGTAACTCTTTTTGGAAATTCTAAACATATCCTTAGAATTTAGGGTTACTATTTCACTAGCAAAGATAAAATTAAGCCTTTTTTAGTGCACTGCTATAGATTCAACCCCTAATCTTTAGTGTTGATTCTAATCAGTGAAATACACTGTAATCTGAACAGTAGGCCAATAAATATTGTTATTACTTTTGGATGACATTTTTTTTTATCAAAATATTTAATGATTATCTATGCACCAATTACAAAATGCACTTCAGATACTACTTTTATATCAAACTAATTTTTCATTTGTGCCTACTTGGTGTATTTGGCTGTCATTATATTTGTATAAAATTCTCATCAGAGCAAACTACATACTCAAAATGAAACTAAAAACCAACCTGGTAATAGGTATAGCTAATTAAATATACTTTTCTTACATACTAAAGATTAGAATGCATTGTTATATCTGTTAGGTACCTCACTGTTAATGATATTTGTAGCTATAAAAAAAAATTGTCATTTTTGTTCACTGACAATATGTATACAAACTTTTCTATTAACAAAACCTTGAAATGAATGCATGTACAACATGTTACAGAAAAGATAAAAGTTTTTTTGTCTCATACTTCAAAATTTCTTCCTTCAATATGAATATATATAATTTTGTTTGTTTGTTTTTTTAGCTGTATGAACATGTTATCATTATGGAAACTACCAACTACAGAAAATATATTAGAAATTGTTTCATAAATTACACATTAACAGCACTAAAACTAAAGATGAAAAAATAATTGTAGTTATGTCTAATTAAATAATTTATTATTCTGTCAAGAGATGGGGTTATGATAAATTATATAGTTTTCTGTAAAATACACTGCAGCTAGATTCAGTTTTGTTTCAAGTTTTTCCTGCAAATCACTTTTTTCTTCCATTTACCAACTCAGATATTCTTTTAATACTGTTTAAGGTTCTACATAATGTTCCTACATTCATAATGAGTGTTAATATTAATTTATTAAGTGCTCAGTTTTATTCTAATAGCATTTTACCTATGAATTCATCAAAATGAGTCAAATATTTTTGATTGTTGTTACAATTCCCTTACAATCAAGTTGTCTCATTGCATGGAAACCAGAGAATATAACTTTAGCAAACAATTATTGAAATCTTCAAAGCATCATGCTTCCTGTCAATCATCAATCAGTGAGTATACAAATGATATTCATCATTTTACTGTCATTCCTGTGCTTGAACCTCCACTAAAAATTTCCAATTATTCAACATAGCCTTCTTTCTTCCAAGTTATGTTTACAGATGTTTAACTCAGTCATCTTTCAAAATTACTCTACCATAGACTCCTTTCTGGCTTATTACTCTTGAAAATATTCAACATATCCTTATTTCTGTTAGCCTTGTTTATGTTACGTTACTCTAGAAGATGTACAAAAAATCCTTGTTTCTGCTATTTACTCTTGGAGCTGTATAACATAGGTTATTTCCTATCATTTTACATAATGTAGATTTTCACTTTCAAAATATTTTTTACTGTGAACATGTATATGACTGTAATGTTTTGAGGAGTGTGAGAAAGCCACAAGAAGTTTTCTTCTTTCATTGTATATGGAAATACAAATGACAACATGTATTTCAAGGCATATTACAGTATTATATAAATAATTACATGGTTACAAAGAATTTGTGAAACAATAATATTAAAGCTGAATATAATAACTATACATGTTTTGTGATAGTTTTGTATAAATTGCACATTTTATAAATTAAATTATATTAGCTTAGACTAAACTATATGTTTGTAATGAAGAAAAAAGCAGTGTGTTCTTATATGTTTTTGATTTTACCATTGTGTGATTGTCATGAACCACAATATTGGTTCATAATAGGCATCACACAGGAATTTTCTCAAAACTCTAATAGAACATTCAGGCAAAAACCACCTTAAAAAGCAGACTTATTCTTGGAACAACACTCAAAATTTTCCTTGTCAATAGACAAAACCATCCAAACATTGATAATAAGCAAAACAAGTGATTTCACAATTGCAGACAAAATCAAAATGACACAAGGTTTCAGTGTCTTACATTCAAAATTTTATTAAACTACTTTTTGTTTATGTTATACCAATTAGAATAGCATAAAATCTTAGTTAATAATCCATATTTTAAT